AAGCAAGGAAAAAAAAGGAAGGGGAAAAAAAAAAAAAAAGCGCAGATATTCTGGCACAGAGCTATGTTTTGACTTTCCTTGATGAAATGACATTTTTATTTCCAAAAACTGCCTAGATTGACTCTGCATGCATATAGAGAGAAGGTGGAACAAACAAACCAGCGCATGTGACAGCAATAGGTTTTATTCTGGGGACAAACGAAACTTTTCAGTTGACTCAGAGCAAGCTTTGTTGCTTTTTTTTTTCTTTTGGGTTGAGTTGAAACGCTTTTGGGCCTGTGTGTTTGTTTCTGAAGCAGGAGAACAGAGCGAAATGTTTCTTTGCATGGTCGCACCTGGGACCTGCAGGTCCTGGGGTGGGATGACAGCCCTGGCTGGGAGCTGTTGCCTCCCACCAGCTCTCACTGGTGGGATGGAGCTGCCTCTATGCACCTTCTCCCCAGGGAGCAGTGCAGAGCCCCTGTGCTCAGCCTCTGTCCTCAGTCACCTTTTTGCTCTACTGCCTCCAGAAAACGATCCCCCAGGTTAAGTGTGTGCAGCTGGGGAGAAGGGGACCCCCTGCCCTCGCTGATGCTGCAGCCCCTGGGCTTCCCCTGGCTCCTCCAGGTCCTGCCACCTTGCAGGGCACCAAATCCCACACGGGAAACAACTGCAGAAGAAACCCTGGACGCCACACCGTGACTGAGGCATGGGATAAAGTTCATAAACTGCCTTAAGCCTCCTTCTAAATCCTTGTTAGCAGCCTGCAAAAGAGCCTTGACATCTGAGCACAGCTGGAAAAGAAAAAAAAGGTGCGTCCAAAGGCACCTGAAGGCCCAGAGCCCCCTCCCTGCTCAACCTGGAGAGACCCGGCACGTGAGCTACGTGGTAGAGGAGAGGTTGCTGGAGAGGACAGAGCCTTGTGCCAGGAGCAGGGATGCTGACAGAGCAGGGATGCTCAAGGAGGGACTTGCATGCCCGGCCTCCCGTGTTGCTCGGGGATGAGAGGTGGGGATGGGCGGAGGGAGGGGGTCTCTTTGCCTCCCGTTGCCTCCTGCTTCGGATGCCCCCGGCTTGTGAGGAGCCTGCCAAACTCTTTTCATAGAAAAATGGATTATTCTACAGTCAGATTAATGGGCTTTCATTTTGCAAAACATCTGTCACTGTTAGTCCTGGACAGTGAGCGTGAAATTAGTTTTGACTGCAGAAAGGCAACGTCGGTGTGTAATATGTGACTTACATGACAACGGCCCAGGGATCCAGCTGGGGAATGGGAATTACCTGTTGAAGGGAGATGGGGGAGCGGGGGGTGCCCCGGGCCAGGCCCTGGCAGTGGGTGTCCTTGCTGCACCCATCACTGAAGCATCAGAGCTCCTGCCCTGCGGCTGGTGGAGCTTGCTGCGAGTGCTGGGGAGGAGAGAGGGAGGGCGGAGAGGGCACAGGGGCTCCGTCTTTGGTGATGCTTCTGAGTTGGGGTGCTGGCAGGTTGCTGCTGGAGCATATGTGTGGGGGGGTGGGCTGGGCACAGGCAGGCTGTGCCAGGGCCCCGAAACGTGGGTCAGGGCAATGGCACTGCCTCCCCATGTTTGCAGGTGGGGAAACAGCAAAAGTGAGCTGAAGGCCTCTCTGGGTGCACCTTGACCCATGCAAAAAGTCGAGTCTGATGTTTTAAGGTCCAATACCGCCAATGTTTCCAACCCTGGCTCCCCATCACTTCATTTATTTAACCCTAATGTTTCCATGCTCCCCTGTTTACTCTCCTCCTTTCCCAGCTGACCCTTCCTGCATCCTACAGAGCCGTGGTGGGTCTCAGCTCGCGCCCTTGTGTCTTGCAGTACATCCAGACAACAACACTTACTATCTCCATGAGTTTAAGTGCTTCTGTGTCTCTGGGCATGCTCTACATGCCCAAGGTGTACATCATCCTCTTCCACCCGGAGCAGAACGTCCCCAAGCGCAAGCGGAGCCTCAAGGCCGTGGTGACAGCGGCCACCATGTCCAACAAGTTCTCTCAGAAGGGAGGTTTCCGCCCCAATGGAGAGGCCAAATCAGAGCTTTGCGAAAATCTGGAAACACAAGGTAACGTGACTCCCCACGGGGTTGGGGAGCTGGTCCTGCTGGGGACCGAGCTGGTACTGGGAAGCCTGAAGCCCTGGCTCACTGGTGGGCTGTAGCCGTGCTGTCCTTAGTGGGCGCAAGCAATGTGGGCAGTGCTGCTCCTCGGCAAAGGGACATCTCAGCTCCCTCCTGCTCCACGGCTTGGCTCACCACGCTCCAGGAGCGAGGGCAGCATGGGAAGGGATGCATCTCACAGGCTGGGGGCCACTCTGCTCCCTGCCGTGCCCAAAGCCACCTCAGGGAGGGAGGTTTGCTCCAGTTACCTGTGCTCCAGCTGGGGCACAAGCAGGCATTCCT